AAGCAGTCTTGAGAGGGAAGTTCATAGCTCTACAGGCCTATCTCAAAAAAACAATAAAAGATAGTAATAAATTATCTAACACTCAAAGAGTTAGAGAGCAACAGGAAAAGCCCAGTATAAGAAGGAGGAAGGAAATAATAAATATCAGAGTGGAAATAAATAACATAGAGACAAAAAAAAATACAAAACATCAATAAAACCAAGAGCTGGTTCTTTGAAAGGATAAACAAGATCTATGAACGTCTAGCCAGGTTCACCAGGAAGCAAAGGAGAGGACCCAAATAAACAAAATCAGAAATAAAAGAGTAAAAGTAACAACAGATCATACAGAAATACAAATGATTATGAAAACATACTATGAACAACTCTACTCCAACAAAATGGACAACCTAGATGAAATGAACATATTCTCAGAAAAATACAAGCTCCCAAAACTCAATCAAGAAGAATCAAAAAACCTGAATAGCCCAATAACTACCAAAGAAAGTGAAGCAGCGATCAAAAATCTTCTAGCAAACAAAAGCCCTGGTCTGGATGGCTTTATAGGAGAGTTCTACCAAGAATTCAAAGAAGAATTAAAATCTATCTTCCTGAAACTATTTCAAAAAATTCAAGCAGAAGGCACACTTCTAAGCTCTTTCTTGAAGCCAGAATTACCCTAATCCCAAAACCAGATAAAGATACCACAAAAAAAGAGAACTACAGGCTATTATCCTTGATGAGCATAGATGCTAAAATCCTTAAAATTTAACAAATCGAATTCAGCTTTACATTAGAAAGATCATATACCATGACCATGTGGAATTTATCCCAGGGATGCAAGGATGGTACAATATTCACAAATCAATAAATGTGATATAACTCATAACCAATAAATGTGATACAACACATAAGCAAACTGAGACAAAAAGGCACAAAATCCTATCAATGCAGAAAAGGCATTTGACAAAATCCAACACCCTTTTGATAAAAACTCTCAGCAAAGTGGGAATAGAGGGATCATACCTAAACATAATAAAACCCATATAGGACAAACCTACAGCCAATATCATACTCAATGGGCAAAAACTAAACTCATTTCCCCTAAGAACAAAAACAAGACAGGGATGTCCATTTCCACCACTTCTGTTTGATATAATACTGGAAGTGCTAGATATAGCAATTAGACAAGAAGAAGAAATAAAAGGCATCCAAATTATAAAAGAAGAAGTAAAACTGTCCTTATTTGAAGATGATATGCTACTATACATAGAAAATCCCAAAGACTCCATCAAAAAAACTATTGGACCTAAAAGTGAATTTGGAAAAGTAGCAGAATACAAAATAAACACCCAGAAATCTATGGCCTTTTTATACACTAAAAACAAACTCACAGTAAGAGAAGCGGGGGGAAAAAGAAAAAAAAGAAAAAAAAATCCCATTTACCATTGCACCAAAAAAATTAAGATACCTAGGAATAAACTTAACTAAGGATGTAGAAGACCTGTACTCAGAAAACTACAGGACATTTTAAAAAGAGATAGAAGACATGAACAAATGAAAGAATATACCATGTTCATAGATGGGTAAAATCAATATCATTAAAATGTCCATACTACCCAAAGCAATTTATAAATTCAATGCAATCCCCATTAAAATACCAACGGCTACTCTTACAACTTAACAAGAAGATAAACAATCCAATCAAAAATGGGCAACAGGCCTAAATAGACATTCAGAAAGCCAAGAGACATATGAAAACTGCTCAAAGTCACTAATCATCTGAGAGATGCAAATCAAAACAACAATGAGACATCACCTCTCACCTGTCAGAATGGCTATCATCAACAAATCAACAGACAACAAGTGCTGGCAAGGATGTGGAGAAAAAGGAACCCTAGTGCACTGCTGGTGAGAATGCACACTGCAGCCACTGTGGAGAACAGTATGGAGTTTCCCAAAAAAAAAACTAAAAAACGGAACTCCCATTTGACCCAGTGATCCCACTTCTAGGACTATATCCCAAGAAACCAGAAACACCAATCAGAAAGGATATATGCACCCCTATGTTCACAGCACAATTTACAATAGCTAAGATTTAGAAACAGCCTTAATGCCCATCAGCAGATGAATGGATTAGAAAACTGTGCTACATTGAATACACCAAGGGAGAAGATGGGAGGAAACCAAGATGGCTGCATAGATAAACGCCTAACTGCAGCCTTACATAACAATTTCAAAAAATACAACTAAAAAATAAAGTGGACATTATCCAGAACTACAGGCAAGTTGACTGACTGGAAATTCTACAACTAGAAGAAAAGAGAAAACCAGAAGGAAAATCAGAGGAGCTGTAAAAGCCTAAGGTACAGAGACACGATGTGCACGTGGGGAGAGGACAGAGCTGGAGAGGAGGGGCAGCTGAGTGCCTGGCTGGCATTCCCTAGTGGGAAGGAGATAAAAGCTCCAGACTATGCTGAACCCCAGTTCCGACAGCACTGAACCCCAGTTCTGGGCGAGACCCTGGGGTCCCAGACTCATACAGAGGGATTCTAGGCTGTAAGGTGGAAACTCAGTGAAAGGCAGAGCCCCAGAGTCGCGCACATTGTGCACAGAGGAGAGACTGTTGACTGTGCCATTGGATTGCCCTAGAGGGAAGGCAACAACAGCTCCGGACTTCATTGAACCCCACTTCAACTGCACTGAACACCAGTTCCAGACTCATTGGGGGAGAGACTAAACTGTCCAGTAGTGGGCGAAACTCGAGGGCACCTTTCTGTCAGAGGTGCTTGCAGCAAGTACCAAAGGACACTGAGGAACACTGAGACTCAGGAACCTCATAGGCTGGGGTTGACAGGAAGCCAAGGCTGTAGGCTCCACCCTGAAACTCCGCCCCATCCAAGCTGAGCACAGAGTCTTTTGAATAAGGCTGTCTCCCGGCATAGACACAGCTGATCCTCACAGTCAATTGGCCTGGAGGTCAGTTCCTCCCAGTGATATCAACAATTAAGACTTAACTACAAAAGACTGTACACACAGTCCACAAAGGGATGAACCAACAGTGTTTACCTCAGATAACTGGGAGGCTGACCCACTGAACCATATAGGACACCTTAACATACAAAGCCACCCTACCAACTCAAGGAAGCAGCGAAAATGCAGAGACAAGGAAACAGATCACAAACAAAAGAAATGAAGGACAAAAAGCAACTGGATATAGAGTTCAAAACCACACTTATAAGGTTTTTCAAGAATTTCTTAGAAAAGGCCGATAAAATAAACGAGACCTATGAGGATATGAAAAGGGATCAACTAGAAAGAAGGAATACATTGTCTGAAATAAAAAATATTATACAGAGTCCTAAAAACAGAATGGAAGATCGCAAGAATCAAGTAAAAGATTTGGAACACAAATACCCAGAGGACACTCCTCTGCAGAAGCAAGAAGACAAGAGAATCCAGAAAGTTGAAGTTAGTGTAATAAACCTCTGGGACAACTTTAAGCAAACCAACATCAGAATTATGGGGGTCCCAGAATATGAGAGAGGCAAGATACCAAAAACATACTGGAAGAAACAGTGACAGAAAACTTCCCCCACCCGGTGAAAGAAATAGACTTACAAATCCAGGAAGCACACAGAACTCCTAACAAAAGGAATCCAATGAGGACCACACCAAGACACATCATAATTAAAATGCCAAGAGCAAAAGACAAAGAATATTAAAAGCAGCAAGAGCAAAGCAGGTAGTTATCAATAAAGGAGCACCCATACAATTGTCAGCTGATTTCTCAACAGAAATCATGCAGGCTAGATGGGAATGGCAAGAAATATTCAAGGTGATGAATAGCAAGAACCTACAGCCAAAAATACTCTACCCAGCAAAGCTATCACTCAGAATCGAAGGCCAGATAAAGAGTTTCATAAATAAAAAAAAGCTAAAGAAGTTCATCACCACCAAACCAGAATTATATGAATTGCTGAAGGGGGTTCTTTAGGAAGAGGAAGAAAATAAAGATAAAAATTATGAACAATATGTAACTATCAACAAGTGTATCTAAAAACCAAGGGAATTAAAAAACCTGATGAACAATATTAACTGGTGAATATAATAGAATCAAGAGGTATGGAAGGGGAGTGGACTGATGATTCCTGGGGAGAAGGGGATTAGGGGGTGTGGGAAGAGACTGGACCGTGGGGGTGGGGAAAGGGCAGATGGTGGGGTGGGAACCTGGTGGAGGGGGGAAAAAATGAGGAACTTTTGTAACAATATGAACAATAAAGATTTATTTAAAAAAAAAAACCGTACTACATCTACACAATGGAATACTACAATGCTATAAAAAAGAAAGAATTCTTACCATTTGCAACAGCATGGATGGAACTGGAAAGCATTATGCTAAGTGAAATAAGCAGTCAATGAAAGAAAAATACATGATCTCGCTCAGTTATGGGTAATAAAAAACATTATAAACTGCTGGACAAAAATAGATACAGAGGCAGAGCAGCACTGAACAAACTGTCAAACTATAGTGGGAAGACTGGGGAGGGTTGGGCAGGCAGGTAAGAGATCAACCAAAGGACTTGTATGCATGCATATAAGCATAACCAATGGATACAAGATACTGGGGGTAGAGGAGATCAGGAGAATATCAGAGAGGGGGAAAAGGAGACGTGTACTACTCTTTGTAATACTTTAAGCAATAAAATAAAATTTAAAAAGTAAGCTTTTCACCTAGCAATAGAATACGCAGTCATGTACAGCATAGTTAAGTCTGCTTGCCAGCACCAGTCACAGCTCTTTCAAAGCAGCTCATGTAACTCTTTGAAATCCACCTTGTTCAGTCTTCACAAACTCCCTTTCTTTCATGATTGAAACACAGTTGGGGTTTCTAACAAAATGTATGCTTCCAACCCCAGAAGTAACACTTTTTTTTTGCCTTGACATTCTTGTCAAAACAGGAAAATTCTTATCACAAACAAAATATACTTTACCATTTTTATTTTCATAAATCCAATTACCTTTGACAGATTCTTTTATTACAGCAACAAATTGAAGCCAGAGAACATCAGGATCAATTTCAACCCAGCCAATTTGAGGACAAAGACTTACTACCTATGGAAAAGACAAGATTTAGTATAAACAACCTAAGATCAAGTCAGTAGTATGTGGGTCTTAAGATTACTTGTTAAAATCATTAATATGATTTTATAAATTATCTAATTTATTTTTAAGTGGAAAAAATATTTATACGAAATAATAAAAGATGATACACCAAAATAACAGTTTTCTTCAGTTTGAGTTTACAGAAGATTTTATCTTTATTTTCCAAGTTTGTCTTTATTTTTGAAGATTTCTACAATAAATACATGTTATTTCTGCAATAAGAAAAAAGTCAGACACTTTAGAAAACAAAAATTAACAAATAACATACCAAGTTCTGGTTCAGACTACGTTGGAGCAAACATACTCCACTCTGTCCCTCTCACTGAATGCAGATATAAATCTGGGCAGAATGCATGGAGCAGCTATTTGGGGACACAAGGAAGTACAATATATTGGGGAAGGTGGAGAGGGTCAAAGGATAGAATTCAAGTACCACTAGACTGGTGGTAAGTTTCCTATTTTTCTTCTGGTATTCCCTGGACTGGACTCAAGGCAGCCTGAAAATCAGAAGTGGGAACCAGGATGCAGTAAATACCAAAGAAAGCACTTTTCTTTTGGCTAACCCTGAGAAGGAATGGGGGAAAGCCCCCATATTTCTTTTCTTTCCCCAACCCCTTGCCTCCACACTTTTGTACCCAGGCTAACCCGTAGTGGTGGCTGCCTTAGTAACCAAAAGCACCTAAAGTACTGCGAGGTTAAAGCTTTCTCTCCAATCAAAGGAGCTGTGGGGTCCAAAAGGTTAACTTGACTCCGCTGGCTTTTTTCTCTGTGTGTGCTCCTGATGCCTACCCCCAGATATGGGATGCCTACCCCCAGATATGGGAAATACCCCCAGATAGTGTAATGAAAGCTCCAGCTTTCTAGGAAGATCTCAGAGCGGAAGGAACTTTTGAGAAAGCTATTCCAGAAAACTGTGTATAAATTCCTAGACTCATCTCAAAGCTGCACATCTGTAAATGTAATCCTAAACAGCATAGCAAAGATGTTAAGGATGAGAACTAGGGGCACACCAGTTGACCACTGGGTGGCACGTACACAGGGCATATCCAAAGAGTACTTCCAAAGCTGCGTTGGTGGTATAGTGGTGAGCATAGCTGCCTTCCAAACAGTACTTCCAAGTGTGAGAACAGACACTGAAACCAAAGTCCACAGAAGGCTGGTCAGAATTTTTAGTCTGAGCCCAACTGCATTAATTGCCTGCTAAAAGAAAATTACGAACATTCATCACAGGATTTACACAAGATCCAGAGTATTAAACCATGATGTTCAAAGGGTCCAGGATACAATCCAAAATTATAAAATCTCAACTCAGACAGGAAAAGATAATCAATAGATACCAATACAAAGATGACACAGAAGATACCTGAAAAGGGTTTTAAAGCAACTCCAAGAAGAACAAATTCTTTTGAAACAAAAAAATAAAAGACATAAAAAGAAAATTTTTAGAATTGAAAAATAGAATAATTGGGGGAGTGGAAGAAATTGAGTGATGATGGTCAAAGGGTGCAAATTTTCAGTTATAAGTTTTGAAGACCTAATGTACAGACAGCATGGTGACTATGGTTGTTAATAATGTGTTGTATACTTGAAATTTGTTAAGAAAGTAGTTCTTCACATAAACACACACAAATGGTAATATTCTGAGGTTATAGATACGTTAATTTGATTGTGATAATCATTGCACAATGTGTAGGTATACCAAATATAATGTTCACCTAAAATATTTACAGATTTTATTGGTCAATCATACCTCAATAGAGCTGGAAAAAATCAACTTAAAAAAGAAAAATAATTAAAATTAAAAAACATACTTGATGGGCTCAATAGTAGAATGCAGATAGAAGAAAGTCAATAAACTTGAAGATGGTTCAAAACAAATTATATATTTTGAATAACAGAAAGAAAAATATTGGAAAACATGAATAAGGTCTCAGGGATCTGTGGGAAAGAGCTAAAGGTCCACTAGTTATGCCATCACAAGAGGCTCAGTGCAAAAACTCATGCACGGGTGGGGTCCATGGGCCTGGCCAGCAATTAGGGCTGATTGGGGCCATTCTGATTGGGACCATTCTGACTGGGAGGTTGACTGGCCGGCTGTGGGGAGAGGCCACTGGAGGTTGGCTGGTGGCAAGGGGTTGGCTGAGAGAGCACACTAACCAGCAGGGGGCAATTCCTATGTTGAGCTTCTGCCCCCCTGGTGGTATCGTCTAGTGATCAGGTCATAACGGTCACTTAGGCCTTTATATATATAGATAACTATTAGTAAAGAAGTGAGAGTTTCATGCAGAAAAATATGACATCAGGGAAGTAATAGTGCTTAAAACTCTTCAAATTCAGTGAGATTTCAAATCTGTATATTCTAGAAGTTAAGAAAACGCCTAACAGGGAAAGTCCAAATTTATACACATCCAGATTCAGCATAATTAAAATGATGAAAACTAAAAACAAAAATCTTGAAAACAGCCAGATACATTATATATATAAAACAATAATCTGAATGAGTGTAATTTTTTTCCTCAGAACAATGAATACCAGGAGGAAGTAGCTCAACATTCTTAAAGTGTTAAAATAAACAGTCATCCACAATTCTATATCAAAATTCCTATAGAATTTTTGTAGATATAGACATGTTGATTTTAAAATTTATATAGAACTAAAATAGCCAAAAATGTTGAAAAGAATAAAACTGGAGAAATCACACTACCCAATTTCAAGACTTACAATTATAAAGCTACAGTAACTAAGTAGGTGTAGACAAATAGATCAACAGTATAGAATAAAGTGCAGAAATAGACCTATACAAAGATAGCTCATTAATTTCTAACAAATGTGTAAGGCAATTTAATGGAGAAAAGATAGCATTTTCAACACAGTTTGAATTACCTTTAATCTAAACCTCATATCTTATACAAAAATTAACTCAAAAGGTATCATAGATTTAAATGTAAAACTGTATAATGTTTAGAAGAAAACATAGGAGAAAATCTTTGTTACTTGGGGTTAGGTGAAGAATTAGAGATGACACCAAATGTACAATTCATAAAACAAAATAAATTGTATTTCATCAAAATTAAAAACATTTGCTCTGCAAAAGATACTGTTAAGAAAACAATGCCGAAACCGGTTTAGCTCAGTGGATAGAGTGTCGGCCTGTGGACTGAAAGGTCCCAGGTTTGATTCCGGTCAAAGGCATGTATTACCTTGGTTTCGGGCACATCCCCAGTAGGGGGTGTGCAAGAGACAGCTGATCGATAATTCTCTCTCATCGATGTTTCTAACTATCCCTCTTTCTTCCTCTCTGTAAAAAATCAATAAAATATATTTTAAAAAAGAAAATGAAAAGACTACACAGACTGATTGAAAATATATGCAAGTCATATAAACCACTATAGGAATCATATTAAGAATATATAAAGAGTTCTCAAAACTCAACAGTAAGGAAATAGCCCAATTAAAAATGGACAAAAGACTTGAACAGGCATTTTACCGAAGAAGATTATATGGATAGCAAATAAGCACAAAAAAATATTCAACATCATTAGCAATTAGGAAAATGCAAGTCAAAACCACAATGAAACACCACTATATCTATTAGGATGCATAAAATAAAAAGCACTAATAATATCAAGTGTCATGAAGAACAAATGGAACTCTTATACATTGCTGGTGGGAATGCAAAATGGGACAGCCAATCTGGAAAAGTTTGGCATTTCTTGTTAAATTTAATATTCACTTATCCTAAGACTCAATAATCCCACTCCTAGGTATTTATCCTAAAGAAATGAAAACTTATGTTCACATTAAAATCTGTACAAAATGTTCATATTTTATTCAGTTCTACTCAAAATTACCAGAAAATGGAAACAACCAAAAATGTACTTCAACAGGTAAATGAATGTGATATATCCATAAAGGGTTATTACTAAGAAATAAAGAGATGAACAAGATTGATACACACAACAACATAGACATATCTAAAAGGAATTGTGCTGAAAAAAAAATGCCAGTTTCCAAAGAATATTTACTATATTTTTCCACTTGATGATGTTCTCAAAAAGAAAAAACTGTAGTGATGGAAAATAGATCAATGGCTATCAGAAGTTATGTTCAGGAGGATGGTATGACTACAAGAACTAACACAAGGAAGTATTATTGGATACGTCTATACATGTACTAAAACTCACAAAACTTATTCACTACAAAAGTCAATTTTAGTGTATATTAATTTTTAAAATAAAAGAAACCTACAGCTTTAGGTTAAAATAACTTAAATATAGTATTTTATCTCCAATTACTCTCAAGACTCAAGATAAAAACATTAAAATGGTCTACGTAGGACAAGAGATCAAACAAGTTCAGACCAGATTTTAACAAATATTTTGTTTTTTGTTTAATTATGTCTGTACTAGAGGCCTGGTGCATGAGGGAGAGTAGGGGGAGTCCCTCAACCCAGCTTATGCCCTCTTGCAGTCTGAGGCCCCTCAGGGGATATTCAACTGACGGCTTAGGCAGATATCCCCCGAGGGGTCCTTAGCACTGCCATGAAGGCAGGAGAGGCTTTCACTCTGGGGTTGCACTGACCACCAGGGGGCAGCTCCTTCATTGAGTATTTGCCCCCTTGTGGTCAGTGTGTGTCACAGCAACAAGCCATTCTGTCATTCGGTTGATTTGCACATTAGCCTTTTATTATATAGAACTAGAGGCCTGATGCACAAAATTCGTGCATTGGGATGTGTGTCCCTCAGCCCAACCTGCACCCTCTCCAATCTGGGACACCTCGAGGGATGTCCAACTTCCTGCTCAGGCCTCCTAACTGCTCGCCTGCCTGCGTTCCTGATTGCCCCTAACCACTTCGGCCTGCCAGCCTGATCTTCCCCTAACTACTCCCCTGCCAGTCTGATTGATGCCAGACTGCTCTTCTGCTAGCCTGGTTGCTCCTAACTGCCCTC